ATGCTAGAGGAGTGCTCTTCAGCTAGCATTTAGGACTCATGTATGTATACTAGTAGTATTAGTAGTAGTCGTCGTCGTAGTAGTAGTAGTAGTAGCAGAAGTAGTAGTAGTAGTAGTCGTAGTGGTCGTGGTAGTGGTAGTGGTAGTAGTAGTGGTAGTAGTAGTGGTAGTAGTAGTAGTAGTAGTTGTTGTTGTTGTTGTTTCATCACTGGCATGTTTTGGTACCGCCTCTAGGAAATTTGAGCTGTTGGCTTTTAAATCGGTCTTTTGCTTTGATTGTGATCCCAGGTTTCGATCTGTTGGTCATTATTGGCTTTTGTTTGTGTGTTGGTGTTGTTGTTGTTGTAGTTTCATCACTGGCATGTTTTGGTACCGCCTCTAGGAAATTTGAGCTGTTGGCTTTTAAATCGGTCTTTTGCTTTGATTGTGATCCCAGGTTTCGATCTGTTGGTCATTATTGGCTTTTGTTTGTGTGCTGCCAGATTTGGTCTTTGATCCCTGTTTGATTCTTTCGATCAGCCTGGTTTCAGTTCTCAACAGCACATTCAAAGCTTGAGGCTCAACATGTACTAGTAATACTAGTAGGTAAGTGTTGACAGAAGCTGTGGGTGAAGAGTTTGCATCTTGCACCCAGGTGATGCCATACTGGTTCTGGAGCGTGAAGAAGCTCTTTGAGAGCGCAGGGCTGAAGCTTCCTTGTGCCCCTCGTGCAGCCTTGTCCGAAGGCCCCTACGCAGTGGTCGCAGCCTTTTTCGGTCGAAAGCATCACGGGAAAGCACATGGCTGAAAGGCGGAACAGAGTCCTGCAAACGGACTTGCTTCACCCTTGCCCGATGCCGGACACGGAACAGTCAAGTAGATGCCATGACCGCTTGTATGATCCATACTCTTGCTACTCTTACATGGAGATTCTGGGGTAGCCCGCGCTTGTTGCACATGGCAAACAGCAGCGATTCGCTGGCAAGCTTGCAGGCCCAGGATGCAGATACAGGTAGGTAAGTGCTGTCAGTATTTTCCCTCATCATGTCAGCCACGACTCAAATTCAAAATGGCTGGCGCTTCACGCCAAGGATGTTAACTAGCTTGTGCTTGGGCAGGCATGCAGGTCGATGCTGCGTGGCATCTTCAAGCTCCTTCGCTTACCGCTCGGGCAGCATGATGCCAAGGACGATCGGCCCTGGTTGCTCGGCAACCACGGTTTACGCTCCAGTCCTTTGTGCCAATCATCTGGTGCATGACTGAAGCCATCAGAAACAGGTAGAGTGCCACTTAAGCCCGGGCATTTTTAATGGATTGTTGCTTGTCCTGCCGAAGTGTTGAAGGCTCTTCCCCGTGAAGCTGAAATCTCAAGATGAGGATCAGGCCTGCACAGCTCTTCTGCGTGACTGGCTTGAGGGAAGCCTCGCCAGTGCTGTGAATGCCGGGGTGGTGTCGCAGAGCTTGCAGCAGCATGTGGTGCTCGAAGCTTTGCCGCAGGACCTCCTGGGGACAATGCCAGATCGAGCATCTCTGCTTCGACATCAGTGGGTCTGTGAGCTTGCTATCCGATGTAAGCAGATGCGACAACTTACAACAAGGTCGTCGGCTTGTGCAGTCGAGCAAACGCAGAAGCTCTTGATTTGACTCTTGGCCATGTGAAGTGTGAAACTGGGCTTCTTGGTGCTGGCCCACAACCCGAAGGCAGTTTCTCTGGGTTGGTGATGATCAGTGTGTGTTTGAGCTTCCATGCACAATCTGCTCAGGAAACTCTTCTGGAAGGGGCAGGGACGCTTGGATGATCCAGAGCGCCGCAAAACCCAGTTCCCGTACAGCGTTGGCTGCCCTTGAGGACAGCTCAAGTGCGTGTGCCTGCTCATGACGAAGGAGGGCAAGTACCTGCGACATGTCTGGGAAGGTGCTGACAGAGCACGGAGTGAAGACAGTCCGAGTCTTAACTGTCTCTCTGTGCAGCAACAGCGAGCAGGTGATAGCCACTTCGAGGGCATCCAGCGCCACGGCAGTGTTGCATGCATGTCCTCGGGCATAATGAATCAGAGTGAAGCATGGCGACGCCGTGATGCCATCTCGACCTGGCAGTGGCTGGCAGGTACACCGCGCACCAACCGAGAAGCTTGCAGGCCAAGTGGCCTGCCATGGCCTGCCAGTTGCATGCCACACCTCGAGCTTGTCCTGTAAATCTGCGTACCGAAGACCGGATGCCCTGCTTGATTCTCGGTTGTCCGTCAGTCAGGCTTCCGAAATTGATGGTGACGACGAGGAGGCTTCGTTACGACAGTCATCAGCAATGTCATATTTAGTTGGTTTTGTCGTTTCTTTTGGCGTACCGCTGAGAAGAGGGCGGCCGAGCAACGGAAACACGGTCCAGCCTCTTCTCTTTCTGTTTTTGTGTTTTTTTCTCCCATCGCTAGCTTTTGAAAGTTTGCAAGGACATACTGATGTCTATCTTTTCGGTTCTTGGCATTTGCTATTTTGCAGCTCCTTGTGTTGGCTCCGAACTGTAGCTTCCTGGACCGCCATCAAGAAACGCCGGGGTGATTCAGAGACATGTGGCCCAGTTGGGTTGAACTGCGGAGTTTGTTGCTTCACCGGGGCGAATCTTCGAATCGCCAGAGCCACTAACACATGGCGCCTGGACTCAAGTTGGTTCTGTTTCGGTTTTCAGGTCGATGCGTAGAGAGTGGTCAAGTGCCTCCACAGGCAGAGTCGCACAGATGCGCGACTTCTGACAAAGACTAGCTGTCACTAGACTCCAGCACCGATTGTCGGCAGCAAAGTCATGGTGCACGCTAACATCTGTTCAGGAGTTTCTGCACCTGAGCACAGTTGCCGGGGACAGCATGTCCTTGCATCTGGGCCGGCTCCAAGAGAACGTCTTTGCATGCATTTTTGCATTAGTGCGGGCCCTACAGCCTAACTTTGAAGAACCACGAGGTTTCATTGGCCCTTGTGCCGTGATGTGCCAGGGGCCCGCGTCTGCATTTGCCAAGGTGGGAACAGATGACGGCCTGGCTTTTGCATCGGATGATGTGCTGCAGCAGTTCCAGGCACTGGTGCAAATAGATGCCCACGCAAGACTTAACTTGCGAAAGCCCGTCATTGCTCTGCCGCAGGAACTGACAATGGCCCTCCATCCAGCCCAAAGCCAGGAGGTGATCTTCACGTGTCTTGGCTGTTTTCCACGACGTGAAAGTTTTTTTTTGCAGATGACAGGAAGTCCGGGTTGCATTACCACTGAGGTATCGCCAGGGAGCTCTGCGATGCTTTTCCGGCACTGCTAGTTGCTGACGCCTTGTTCGAGCTCTCTGAACGCGTTGCGACTGAGGAAAAGAATGCAACATCATCACGAGCCTTTGCCTCTATCGCGGTCCCCATCACACATGGCGGCTGGAGCCAATGCAGCTGCACTTGCATCTTGGGCCCATTTAGCTTGACAGAACAAGCTCCACGTTGCCAGAACGGGGGCTACAGCATTGGAGTGTCTAGCGCAAATTTGGGGTGTGGAAGGCCTTAGGCATGTCTGAATTACACTGATCCTCGCCGAACTTGTTGGGGCTTCTTGCAGCGGGTTCTCAGTCTCGAGCAGCCGTTTACCTTTCTTGTGGTCGAGATCCGACAAAGTCATACGCATCTTTCCCCTGCCCGGGGAATTGTAGCCTTTAGGGCAGTTAGGTGGGTGATTCCTGAGTTTCCTGATCGCACCGAGTAAGCTACCAAGCTTGGGCAAGCTTTCTTCGCTGGCTCAGCACGGTGAGGTTCTCTATGCGAGCGAACAAGGCCGCATCGGTCACACGTTGTGCACTGAGAACTTCTGCTAGCATCCGGCCCTGTCTGTCCGAACTGTGATCCGCGGCAGTCGAGATGGCGGGAGGCAGATCTGGATCCAGCTTCGGCGGCCGAGGAGGCTGTTGACTAAGTCATGTCCGCCCCACCAGCGTCTCTTCTCCATGCTATGAGCCAGGCAGCATTGCCCTCACAGTCTCGATTCGAAGATGCACTGTGCTGCCTGAAAGGTTGCCCACTTCGTGGCCAGCAAGGTACGTTGGCTGATGAAGGCAGAGTTGCAAGAGCAAACTGCTAAGATGACGACACGCTAGGCCAGTTGAAGCATCAAATAATCACGGAGTTCATAGTGCTTGGCTTTATCGCCATGTGTGCCGCGGGATGCCGTATCGATTGCTGCCGGACATAGGACAACTGACGGGAAACAATCCCGGCAGATCAGCGGCAGGACCGCTGCTGGAAAGTTGCCAGCGACGAACGAGGCGCAGTGCGTATCCATGCATATTGCAAGTTGTATGGAATGCCAGAAGCAAATACGCAAGATTGCGCAAGAGTCTCGCCTGCCAATCAATGGCCACATCAATCTGCACAAGGAAGTTTACGTCGTTTATGTAATTGAATGAAAACAGGTGCAACGAGCATTTCATGGACTGGCTCTCGCGGGTTGGAAGTCACCTTTCAAAGCGCATCAGTCTCGCTCAGCAGTGCTCTTCATGCAGAGCTAGATGCACCTGGACCTGCAGCAGTCGCAACCGGAGCCGGATAGTTTTGGCCATGGCGGCGAGGAAGAACCGGGAGTGGATCCTGAAGCAAAGGTGGGTCCAAATTGAAAGTTCGGCTTTTGAGTGCGTCATCAAATTCTCCTGGAAGGCCCGGCCCGGAGGGCTTCCAGACGACTGACCTGGAGCTTCGTGAGTGCCCAATGCCGGAATGTCAGGAGGGAGAGGCGGGGCGCTGAAGCCTGTGAAATCCATCGCTTTGTGCACTGAAGTCCTGTGAAGGTTCTCTTGGCCACGCACCTGATGAGCATGGACCCGACCATGCGAAATGCCATGGCAGGAGAGGAGGCGGCTGAGCGAACCGAAGGCTCTGCATATTTCAAGACGATGAACTGGACGCCTGGCTCTGTGATCACATGGCGGATTGCAGGGCTGGTTCTGGAGTCCAAGGCCGCTGGGTTCTCCAAGGGCGAAATGGTCTTCGCAAATGCACCGTGGCGTGAGATCAATGCCGTGACTCCTGAAATGCTGCAGAAGATGCCCGAAGGAGTGTCGCCCTCCGCGGCCTTCTCCTGCTTAGCCCTTACGGCTATGACCGGCTACCTGGGAGTGAAGCATGTGACTAGGCCAAACCCAGGCGATGTGGCTTATGTCTCCGGGGCGGCAGGAGCTACAGGTTTGATCGCTTGCCACACCCTCAAGCAGATGGGATGCCGGGTCATCGGCAGTGCAGGCTCCGCCGACAAGGTCAAACATTTGCAGTCACTCGGATTTGAGGCTTTCAATTACCGTGACGAGAGCGTGCTCGCGGCCCTGAAGTGTCTTTGTCCTGAAGGCTTGAATGCATGCTTCGATAACGTCGGCGGCGAAACCCTCGAGGCTGTGCTGGAGATGATGAATGACACAGGCAGTGTCACGCTCTGTGGCGCTATCTCGCAATACGATGCAAAGCCCGAGCAGCGCTATGGGGTAAGAAACCTCTTCCACATCATTGCCAAGCGCTTGCGCATGGAAGGCTTTATTGTGGGCTTCTTCCCTCCTGAGGCAATGGCTGAGGCATCCGAGACGTTGTCAAGCTGGTTGCGTGAGGGCAAGATCTCCGATTGCTCCAGCTTTGTGGATGGATTCGAAAACTTGCCTGACGGCATTATGGGCTTGTTCCGCGGCACGAACACGGGCAAGATGTTGGTACGAGTTCCGCTGGAGCTTTGCAAGTTCTGAAATCACCGCTGGTGCAGCTGTGTTCTGTCCGACTCCTGTGCTAACCCTAGTCAGATCGCAAATGGCACCACAAAATAGGATAAAAATAGGAAGAACTAGGAATCCTGGTCTTTGTGAAATACGAATAAACTTGTAGAAAAATAGGAGAGAAATAATGACGATAGGACAAATTAGAACCCCTCTTCCCGCGCTCTTTTCTGCCCTGCGGGCATGCGTTTTTCGTATCTTCCCAGTGTTCTCCCTACATGTCCTATGTTTTCCTTATGTTATTTAACTTTCCCTAGTTTATCAAGTTTATTCCCATGTACCACCTATTTTTGCTCTCTTTTCTTCCTAGTGTTCTCCAGTGTTTCCTATTTCCCCTAGTTTTTCCGTATTCCCTGCAAACCTGGACTTTGTATTTTCCAAATTTTTCTCCTAAGTTGTGCTTCGGGTCTAGGGGATCAGCACGATAGAGTCGGACATAATTGTAGTGATCACCGAGACTTATGCCATTTATGGCTTGCCGAGTATTCACCCACAGGATGATTCCTAGCGGGCTGAATTTTCCAGATTTGTCAGTCCAATTTTCGGCACCACGCTGTTGCTTGGGTTGCTTTGTGCCCGGACATACCAGTCTGCAGCTGGAACAGTGGAGCGAAAAGTTGTAAACTGCCGCAGCATGCCACCTGTTTTCCTGCTTCACAGCATCATGGCAGCACGGACCCGCAGGTCTTCACTTGCCCGGCAACAACAACTGTTGAGGGAACCGTCTGAGCAGACCTTGTTGAGTGTCAAGTCTGTTGTCAAAGTGCAGCAAGGCGGCCCAGTAGAAAGGCCAGTGCCCGGATGCCAAGCTTAAACTCTTGAAGTCACGATTGAGCAGGTGTCAGTGTGTGGGTGTGCGCGTGTTTGTGTGTGTGTGTGGGTGAAATGCATCCGGAGCCCCTGACCCGACCCCTGGTTTTTGTGTCGCTGGACGTAGCTCCGCGATCACACGTGGTGGGGGGCATCTTGATTTTGTGCATTGCCAGATTCTCGGACACCGGGGGCAGCGCCGCGTGATGTGGATGCTGCCATTGCAATGGAGCCGACTCAACTCTGGCTTGCCCCAAAGTTCGGGCTTAGATGGGAGCAGGCGATGACATGGGCTTGTTACACAAGCCTAATCAAACGTCAGAAAAGGAATGGGGTCTCATTCTGCCAGTGGACGTGACGGATACGTCACAAGCCGGTAACCGCTTTGACTCGCCTGCAATCTCGGAAGATTTGGCATGAGCCCAGATCCAAAAGTCAAGGTTGAGCAATAAAGGGTGCAGAGACATTTCACAGTTCACCCGTACTCGTACTGTGATCCAGTGGGGTCGATGTGGAGTGAGCCTTGCTCTGGCGTGGAAGTCTCGACACGTGCTTGAAGCATTCACAAGGCTCCGACAACATCCTCGCTCTCGTCCCAGAGGGTACCGTGCCTGCGGCGTACCAGCCTTGATCGACCAGACTACACACGCAGCTTTGAGACTGGGACGCAATCGCGTTTTCGCTGAGGATCCAGGAATCTGCCCGACGGAGAGTTTCGAAGCTGCATGTGGGGAATCATGGGATAGCGCCGGCAAGACAATCAAACAAGGTCAAAGGCATCCAGAATGACACACCCACTGTCGGCTTCTCAGATCGTGGGGCAATGCCAACGGCCTTCAACAGAGGGAGAGAGAAAGAGATAGGCACAGGCACCCCTGCTGGGGTGGGGATTTGTGACAGGACCCAAGACACACTCACTTTCACATGACTGTGTACTGTAGGTGTTGATGGTGTTGTTTCGTTGTTGTCTGGAAAACTCTGGAAGTTTCCTAGACAAAGAGCACCTCAAGGCATCTCTCTCCGAAAACAAAAGGAACTTGGCCCGGGCCAGGGTCACGGTCCAGTCCGTGTTGGGACCTGCACATGGTGCAGTAAACTTCCAGCGACCAACACACATGGCAACAACACTCTTCGGAATTCCTTACACAGAGGATGCGCGCAATCCGCAATCGAATCCACTGAAGAGGCCAAACGACATATTCATGAAAAATAACTGTTGGAGAAGCGGTGCCAGGAGTGACCCCAAAAGCGCGCGAAGCCTCCCGGTTTGTACAGCGTCTTGGAGAGGCGGCGACAGGGGTGACCCCATGTGTCTCTGTATGTGTTTCTGTGCGCGTGTGTGTTGCTTGTGCTTGTGTGTGTTAGTCTCTGTCTGTCTGTCTGTCTGTCTGTGTCTGTCTGTCTGTGTCTGTCTGTCTGTGTCTGTCTGTCTGTGTCTGTCTGTCTGTGTCTGTCTGTCTGTGTGTGTCTGTCTGTGTCT